TTCAGCTTATCCTGTTAGCTTTAGCATTAGCCCCGACACTATCACCATATATATATGCTAACATTTTCTTCTCGTCACTGAGGTCCTCCATCCACATGACAGAGTGGGGAACACAAAAATGACTCAGCCCGCAATGGAAAATGTGGATGGAGGACCTCAGTTTGGCTTGTTTGTCGCGCTAGCACCAAGCTAATACATATAAGGCAATATAGCGTCTGTGCTAACACGAAAGCTAACGGGCTAAGCTGAGGTTCTTCTTCCATGAAGCAGCTCTGTTGTCCTCCATCTATATTTTCAGTTACAGTGTTGGAGCCTATTAATTATTTAAATGACATTCTTGTTATATGCAGAATTATGTAGATTATTATTATTTTAAAATAAGCCTAGTGATTTTTATAGACAAAACATTGTGATTTTTGTTCAGGGCCCTCCTCCTCCTWAGGCCAACTGTGATTAATGAGAAAATGACACCTGGGTGGGGTGAGTCTGAAACATGGTTGAAGGAGTGAGGAGTGAAACAGTTTTTGTACCACTAAATAACATTTTTTACTTGGATTTTGTTGAAAGTCAACCGGAGAATATTTCTGTTTATTTTTTATTTTTTGAAAGTAAAGTCAAAACATTTTTGGTTGGAACAGGAAAACCTCTCCGAGTGCTTTTTTTATTTGGTGCGTCGAGAACCTCCTCCTAGGCAAAACTCTGACATTGTTGGACAATATCTGAATGCCAGAGCTGCCGAAACAAGTACAAAAACTTCACTGAAGACTCGAAGGGAAGCGCAAAGTTTGTGGATCAAGCCGATCTCCGCTGGCAAACCAGTAAATGAAGCAGCCGTCAGACTGTGAGTAAAATCAGCTGATTGACTTTATGAATGAAAGCACTGCTGCGCTGCGCTATGAGGAAATAAGGCTACCGAAAGCAAAGCCAGGATGTGGATTACAATAAGAGGGATGTTTATGGATGAKCTAAACTGAAATAGAAGAAATTTGTGTGATTATTTGTGACGATGTCTGACACTTCAGATCTGTTAAAGGAGCGCATTGCTTCGCGCAGAGGCAGATTGGGAGCATGCACAAGGAAGATTAATGAAATAAAAGCTTTGATGACAGATGTGAGAAATATTGATGAAGTCAAAGGCATGTTTGAAGTGTTTAAAGAAGCTGTGGAAGAATTTGGAAAGGCTCACCTGTTGGTGCAAGAGTTCTTATCAAAGGAGGAAAAGGAAAATGATTATTCTGACTGGTATGAACCCAGAATAACTAACTTGAGTTATTTCATTAAAGATGTTGAAGCATGGAAAAGAGAAATTGCACAGTCAAAAATTGGACCATTGGACAGCATATCAAATGTTTCACGCAAATCAAAGTCTTGTACTTCTACCAGATCATCAACCTCAGTCTATTCGGAGTTGAAAAAAAAAAAGGCCAAAGCAGAACAGGCTGCTGCAATGGCACGAGCTGCTGCATTGAAACAAAAACATACTTTGCAAATGGAGGAAACAAAACTGAAGTCAAA